GTGGGCGGGGGGGAGGGGGAGGGCTGTGCCCGCCGGCTGGGGATGAGTGGGCGGGGGGGAGGGGGAGGGCTGTGCCCGCCGGCGTGGGGTTGAGTTGGCGGGGGGGGCGGAGCTGTGTCCACCGGCTGGGAACGGACGGGGGAGGCGTGTGCGCACGCGCTGGAGCGGGGTGGGGGGAGAGCTGCGTGTGCTGCCCCAGCCCCACCCCACAGGTCTCTGCTCTCTGTGTTCCAGGTTCACCCAGAAGGGAAGTTTGTGGTGGATGTTGATAAAAACATTGACATCAATGATGTGAGTACCAGGCCCCCGGTGAACCCACCCTCGGAGCAGCGCGCCCCGTGCTGGGGGAGGAGGGGGCAGCTTGGCCGCAGCTGCCTTGTGCCTATCGTCGCCAGCCTGCCGGGGGCAGCAGAGGTCCCACCAGCTGCTGCTGCCCAGCCTGGCCACACCCCTGCCCCAGCAGCTGCCCCGCGGCCCAGCTCTTGCTGGGGAGGTGCCCAGGCTGGGTGCATAGGCCGGGGCGCTGCGAGTGCTGAAGGTGAGGGGGGCCGGCGGTGAGCGCCTGCCCGTCTGTCTCCACAGGTGACCCCGAACTGCCGCGTGGCGCTGAGGAACGACAGCTACACGCTCCACAAAATCCTGCCCAACAAAGTGGACCCACTGGTGTCCCTGATGATGGTGGAGAAGGTCCCGGACTCCACCTACGAGATGATTGGCGGCTTGGACAAGCAGATCAAGGAGATCAAGGAAGTGATCGAGCTGCCCGTCAAACACCCGGAGCTCTTTGAGGCCCTGGGGATTGCCCAGCCCAAGGCAAGCGCTCTCCGGGGCAGGACTCCCAGCACATGCCCTGCCACCCGCCACGGGGAGGGGACTCTGCCAGCCCTGGGCAGCTCAGATCTGCTGCTTAGAACTGAGCAGAACACAGCCCTGCACTGCTGGGGCTGGTGCTCTTCACACGTGCTCTGCCAGGCTTCCGGGCGAGGCTGGCAGGGAGAAGGGAGCCCTCTCCCTTCCCTGGATGGTTCCCACCACCCCATGGAGCGGGGAGGGGAAGGAGATTTGTTACCAGTCCCACTCTCCCCTGTGACTTGTCCAGTTCTCTGGCTGTGCCGGGGGGAGGGAGCAGGGAACCAGTCACTGAGTGGGTGGGATCCCAGTGCCTGCCAAAGGAGAGGCTCGGCCCCTGTGCACTCCCCTGCAATGCCAGCTGGGGGGAGGGACGGCTGCTCGAAGGGCCTAGATGCTCCCAGTGGGAAGCAGTTGTGACGGCCCTTTTCCCTGCCAGAGCCCAGCACAGCTCCCTGCTGGCAGCTGCGGCAAGGCCAGGGCCAGGGCCAAGGGTGGGTACGCGTCTCCTGCCTCAGCCCTGCATGAGGGATGGCAGCTCCTCGCCCATGTGGAGGAGGGGGTGAGCCTCAGGGAATGCAGCAGCTTCCTAGCACAGCGCCCCCTGCTGCCCTTGCCGGAGGAGGCAGAGCTTGAGCAGCCCCCCAGTGAACTGCGTCCTCATGGCACGAATCCTTGAGTGCGCCGCAGGCCTGGTCCGTCCCCAAAGCCGGGCTCCCCCCATCTGGCAGCGCTGGGCATGTCTCTGGCAGCTGCTCCCCGGGCATGTGGTCCTGGACGCATGGTTTGGGCCCCGTCCTACTGGGCCCTGGATGGGGTTTATGAGTAAATCGCCCACTAGGTGGCACCAAATGCCCATGTCTGTGCTGGGCTGTGCAGTGCAGCTCCTGCACCGAACCCCTTGGCTAACGACGCTGGCCTGGCCATTGCAGGGTGTGCTGCTGTACGGACCACCCGGCACCGGGAAGACCCTGCTCGCCAGGGCCGTGGCTCACCACACTGACTGCACCTTCATCCGTGTCTCGGGCTCGGAACTGGTGCAGAAGTTCATTGGCGAGGGTAAGTGTGGATGTGGGAACGGGGGCGGGAGGGGGGATGTGAGTTTAACCCTCCCATCCCCAAGCTGTCCCTCTGCGGAGCCCTGGTGGCAGGTCACAGGGGCAGGGGGCGGTGTGGCCCCCTCACGGCTGCAGCCATGGGGCCCGTGTTCTTGTTCTGAAGGGCTGGGGCCAGGGGGGATAAAATACAATGGTTACAAAAACCCTATGAAATGGGATTAGGTGCTGTAATGAAATACATTTTTGTCTTTAAAAAGAACATGAAATTATAAAATTCAAGTTGAAATTATCCCGGCCTGTGTTCAGGTCAAAGAGTGTAATTATCAACGTTTCAATAATCAATATGGTGCATCTCAGGAGCTTTCAGAAGTGACTGCTTCCTTTGTGTAATCAATCGAGCTGTTTTAAATGCAAAACACATTTGACAACCTGAATGTTTCTGCCAGCGCATCTGAGTTATTTATTGAACTGAGACAGGTTTAAAATGCTGGTTTTGTACATTTAAGCGAAATCCAGTTGCCAGCCAAATGCAGCTTGACCCCAATCCCGAGTCAAGGAATTGGCTAGTAAATAACTGAGTCCTTTGCTGTTTTCGAACGTCGAAGTACGACAGTCGAGGAGCTGGAAACGAAACTTGTAGAGAGCTCGTGTGTTGGCCTGGCAGCCCCGAGCACAGAGAAACGGCAGTATTGGTTGGCCAGGTGACACGTGGAATGGTTATACCAGCCCATGAGTATGAACCTAGGTGCAGGAAAATAGCTACAGGACAAGTGCAAACCAAGATTGCAATCAGTGATTTAAATCAGTCCCTCGTGTGTGCATGGCCCGCAGCCAAGCCCTGTGCTGACGCCTCTCGCCCGTACCTGGTGACACTCCTCAGGCCGGGCCCGTGCCCTCGGGGGCGCCATGGGCCCATCCCCAGGGCTGCGCTGACCAGCGCGTAGCAGGAGCTCTCCGTCCCTGCAGTGAGAACGGGGCCGGGGCTCAGCCCTGGGGCTGCAGAGCTGTGGGGGGCTGTGCGCCGTCCTACGGCAGAGCGTTCAGGGGCCCCTCTGCTTTGCCCTCAGGCGCGCGCATGGTGCGGGAGCTCTTTGTGATGGCCAGGGAACACGCGCCCTCCATTATCTTCATGGACGAGATCGACTCCATCGGCTCCTCGCGCCTGGAGGGCGGCTCCGGGGGGGACAGCGAGGTGCAGCGCACCATGCTGGAGCTCCTCAACCAGCTCGATGGCTTCGAGGCCACGAAGAACATTAAGGTGCGTAGAGCCTGGTGTGACTTCTGGCGAGTCTCCCCCCCCAGGGCTAGGCCGGCACCCCTCCCCCAAGCTCAGGGGAGGAGGGGATTCGGCTGCCCCGTTTCCCAGCTGGGAGCTGAAGCCAGGTGGCTTGGCATGGCTGGCCCCCCAAGCCTCTCACTGCCGGATAAAGCCCCAGCTCCTGTGCAGTGACAGCCTCCTCCCTTGCAGGTGATCATGGCCACTAACCGCATAGACATCCTGGACTCTGCTCTGCTGCGCCCGGGCCGCATCGACAGGAAGATCGAGTTCCCGCCTCCAAATGAAGAGGTAATGGGGGCGTTCCCCTGTGGGAGGCCCCTCCCCCTGCGGGCCAGGGCCAAACTCTGTTTCTGTAGTGTCATGGCACTGAAAGGGTCTGAGTCCCAGCCTGGCCCCCCAGACATTCTCCCCCCCTGTGCTGGCTGTTCCCTGACCTCTTGGCCCTCCTCCCCCCCCCCCCCTTGCTGGGGCTCTCCCCCCAGGCTCGCCTAGACATTCTCAAGATCCACTCTCGGAAAATGAACCTGACGCGGGGGATCAACCTGCGTAAAATTGCGGAGCTGATGCCAGGAGCGTCGGGGGCTGAGGTGAAGGTGAGTAGCTGGGCCTGGAGCTCTCTAGGCTGGTGGGACAGGGAGCAGCTGCTCCTGATTAGCTCTGGAGGGGGCTTTGAGCCAGGACTAGCTTCCGTTGAGCTGTCGCGTGCCTGTTCCAGGGGCAGGCTGGGGCCCTTTCGGGGTGTGCTGAGCACACTGCGTTCCCCTGGAGGGATGGAGTGGATGCAGTGGGCAGATCTCCAGGAGATGTACAGGACTCCTCTGTCACACGCTGCCCCTCTACCGGGGAACTGCTTTCCCCATGTGAGGCTGGGCGGGTGGGGGGGACTGTGCAGAAAGGGGAGTGACTGTTCTTCCTTGCTCTTGTGCCCTTGCAGGGGGTGTGCACGGAAGCCGGCATGTACGCCCTGAGGGAGAGGAGGGTGCATGTTACACAGGAAGATTTTGAAATGGCCGTAGCCAAGGTACAATGCACCTCGTGCTGCCCCAGCAGCGGATGGGGGCGGTGGCTTCAGTGCACCAGGCGCTTTAAGGGACCAACTGCAGGCTCTTCTCTTCCTCTGGGCTGTTGGCCATGCCCCTGGTCCAGCTGGAAGTGGCTGTCCTGCCAGAGAACGGGGACAGCCCCCCCGCCCTCCCTGAGACTGAAGGCCGGGACTGTTCAGAGCTACAGGGACGCCCAGAGACCAGCCCTGTTCTCCCCGAAAGGGGGGCCCGGGGAGAGAGAGGCTGAAGGAATGCAAAGAAGTGAGGGGCCCCCAGGAGGTAGATGGAGGCTGCTCATGCACCTGTCCCCATGCTGCCGAAACAAGGGCCCACAATAAAACCCCATGGGGGACTTTCATCCCATGCCCCTTTGGCTGGGAGTTCCACAGGTACCAGCACCACTCAAGTGGTAAAATCAGAAATCCCCCTGGCTCTGCTTCTCCCACCTTCCTCTGCCAGGGCAGGCCCTGGTGCTGGTAGCGTCCCAGTCTGCTCCCTCGGGCAGATCCTAGGCTCCCCGTTCTGTGCTGGCCGCTCCGGAATGGCGCTGCCTGTGGCAGAGTCGCAGTGTGAAGTCAGAGCGGTGGAGAGGGGAGTTAACTGGCTTTAGAGGCAACCCCTGGGGCCTCCCTTCTGCACAGAGACGCTGCTGCTCTAGGGGGCTGGCCTGGGGCAACCTGCTCCCCAGCAGCTGTTTTCTTCCCTGAGTCTGTGCACGCTGGGGGGTGGGATTTACTGCTGCTGTCACTGCCCTGCCTTTGGTGAATGCCAAGGGGACTGCGGCCTAGACAGTGCCGCAGCCTAAGCTGGAGTACAGGCTCCTGCCCCTGCCCGGAGGGGGCACCAGGAAGGATCCCTGCAAGGCAGGCTGCAGGGGCCCAGCCTGGTTCCTGCCCTGGGCTGGGATCAGGACAGTGGCGGAGGAAGCATGCAGGTGACCTCAGGCCGGGGCTGAGTGCCAGAAGCAGGGCCTAACCCTTCCCTTCTCCCCCCACCCAGGTGATGCAGAAAGACAGCGAGAAGAACATGTCCATCAAGAAGCTCTGGAAGTAACCGGGGGCCTGACCCCCTCACCTTTTCTTTAATAAAGCTCTGTGCTGGCTGAGTTACCCCCCCCCAGACTCTGGCTGTTGAGGGGAGGGATATTAAGAGGGGAAAGCGGCCTCTGCTCCTGCCAGCGGCTGGGAACCCTCACTCCCCCTTAGGTTACAGGGCAAGGAGCCTAGGCTGGGTGATGGGGACTGAGCAGCCAGCAGTGAGTTTCCAGCCAGGGCTTGGTGCAGTCTGTTCTCGCCCTGCCTTTAACAGCTGAAGCCCGGGCTCCAGCTGGACTTTGGCCTGCGTCCACTGTGGGGATGTGCGGCTGTGGAAGGAGGGAAGTATTGACACTATTACTCCCTTGGCCTTTGAGCTCCTGTTTCCTGGCTGCAGCCAGGGACCAGAGGGGGACTCTGCTCCAGCTGCCTCCTCCCCCCTCTGGTTACCCTTGGGGCAGGGCTGTGTCTGCTCAGCTGGTGGTGAGGAAGGAGACACTGGCACAAGCTGCTGCTAAAATGTTTTTATTAGAAAATATCCAACCCAGACAAAATGGTTACAAGAGCAAGCGGCCCAAGCCTCACTGCCAGCCCCTGCCTGCCTAATTCTACCATGCAGGGCTGCCCTGCCCCCCAGGAAACTGCCCCTGTTCCCTCCTGCCAGGGCAGCATAAGGGGCAGGGCTGGGGCTAAGGCACATGGGAGAGCCCAGCTCATGGTGTCACCTTTGTTGGAACAGAGACACTGGCTTCTCCCCTTGGTCTAGTCCTATGTGCACTGCCCTGAGTAATGGAGTCTGCAGGCAGTTGGCAGAGCCGCCTCTTCCGGCCCCTGCCCCAGCAGCCCCCCACCCGCTGGATGTGAGAAGAGGGAGGCTGGAACATTCAGCTGATTGTCAGCGACTCAGACTAAGTGAACCCATTGCATAGGTTTAGGTGTGAGCGCAGGACTGGGGGAAACCTCGTCTATTAATCAAATACAAACCCACTGTACAAAAGGCTTCGTTTTATAAACCCTGCTCACAAACATAGTGCAAAACACAACGCCAGCTCGGCCGGCCTTTGGAATGGACAAAGCTTTGGTTTCAAAAGTGCCAGCCACTGCCTGCCCGCCGCGCGCAGGGGAGAGGCTGGCACGGGCTCAGGGGGAAGCAGGCGAAGCCCTTGGCCTCCCAGGGCTGAAGCTCAGGAGCCTGTGGGGCTGTTGTGACGCTCTGGCCGCATCGCTCAGTATGGAGAAGTGCCTAGGAGGCCCCTTGGCTTCAGCTCAGGGAGAGCTCGTACCCTCTGGTCAGCGACTCCAGCAAGGCTCTGGCCCAGGCAGGCAGGGGAGGGGAAAGCTCTGGGTCCCAGGGAAGGGGGAAGCTCTGTTCCCAGGGGAGGAGGGGAAGGGGGAAGCTCTGGTTCCCAGGGGAGGAAGGGAAGGGGGAAGCTCTGGTTCCCAGGGGAGGAAGGGAAGGGGGAAGCTCTGGTTCCCAGGGGAGGAGCGCCGAGCCTGCAATGAACACTACGGGGAGAGGCGCGCAGGCAGCAAGTTAGGCCAGTAATGCAGTAAAGGGGCCGGAATGAAGAGTGGCAGGGAAAAGGCAGAGGCTGCACCCCGTGCCTTTGGCGAGAGCACCGACCCAGAGAAGCCGCGGGGCTGGGAGCCCCTGGGGACACTAGACGCTCAGAGCTTTGTGCAAGTGCTGTATTTCATTCCAGTCAGATGTACCGTCAGGCTCAGGCACTCAAGGAGAGCGCCGAGCCCCTGAGCCGTGCCCAGCCCATTAGGTGAGGCGAATCCCAAGCACTTGTTCCAGTTCCTGTCTGCGCTGCTGAACCTGAAAGGCACAAGAGGCGCAAGGTGGGGCGGGGCCTGGGAGAAGGGCAGGGCTGGCTGGGGGAGCATCGGATGGGCACAGGCTCTCTTGCCCCTCGGGGGCACTCTCCACTTCTGAGAGTCTCACTGGCATGGAAGCAGGAACCTGAGCTCAGCCGCCACTCGAGAACCGCAGCACCAAGCCGAGGCTCCGGTGCTGGGAAGGGGGAGGTACGTTCCCTGACTGCTCAGGATTTTAGACAGCAGGCCTTAAGCCCCCCATGCTCACTGCTCTGGCCCTGGCTTCAGGCCATTCCCACAGCATGCTGTGGGGCAGATCCTACCTAATCCAGAGCTCTCCACCCTCGAGTCCTTCCTCCGGGGGAGGACTCCAGTACCTGCTGCCTCCCTAGGCAGCTGAGAGTGAAACCCACAGGGCTGGGTCAGTTTCATGCCCGCCCAGTGAAACTGACCAGGGTCTTATCAGGTTCACTGCTGGCTGGGAAGCGGCCTGCTCCTGGCTGGCCTGCAGGAGAAGGGCAGGGACAGAGCTCGGGGAGGTGGGGGGGGGGGGGGAAATGGGAGGGGCTGAGCACTGATCCTTCAGAAACCGCCCAGTTCCCAGCTGGACGTCCCAGACCTGGGACAGGTTCAAACCCCGGGCTCACAGGAAAAGGGGCAGAGTAACCAGAACCTGGGGCTCTGCCCACCCCTCTGGCATTCACTGGGAAGAGCTAAGGGGCCAACCCAAGGAGCCTAGTCCGCGTGGCAAGAATCCCCACCTTGGCAAAGATGTGCCTCCCCGCAGCCTCCTGCGCCCAAGGCTGATGGTAGAAGTCGGCTCGTCTCTCCTCCTCGGGGTTTCCAATCACGTCTGTTATGATCTGCAACACGGCATGGGGAGGAGGAGATCGTCAGTGGGACGCAGACTGCTGGGCTCATGGGCAGCTGCTGCCATCCCAGGGCCCACAGCAGGCTTCCCGGACACCCCGCCCCTGCCAGCACGATCGCACGTCCCGCAGGGCAGGGCACGCGTCCGGGGGGAGACACCCCATGGCTGCTGGGCTAGCTACTGCACTGGGCAGCGTGGGCCCCATGCTGCAGGGGGCTGTTACTGCATTACCCTGCACGGTAACGCCAGACCCCAGCCCCTGCTCAGCAGCGACTCGGCTCTCCAGTGGGGCCCCAGCTGTACCTTGAGGTCCCTCCTCTGGGATTTGATCCATTCCTGAATGAAGTCCTGTGGGTTGTTGCTGAAGCTCAGCATGAAATCTCGCTGCGTCTTCAGCTGGTTGATGGACTCAATGGTCTCGTGGATCTAGCAAGAGAAAGCGGGTGAGACGGACCCAGCCGGGACAGGGCTGGCTTGGCCGTTTTGCTTGCAATTGTCTGTAAAAGGCTCCAAGCACGGGGGAGAGGCTGGGCGGGGACCCAAGGGAAGGCTCAGCAAGAAATGAGCGGAGCCCTCTCCCTCCTGGTGCCAAGGCTCAGGAACACATGGGGTAGCAACGCAGCATAAAGCCAGGCCCAAGTCCCTGGAGCTGAGGTGCAGAGGGGTTAACCCGCCCCCCAGCCTAGCGTCGGACACAGAGGGAGCCTCCTCCCCCATCTTCTAGGGCAGTGGTTCCCAAACTTTAACAGCCCACGAACCCCAACTGCCCAGCCCCGCTCTCCCTGGGGCTCGGGCTGCCAGCCCCGCGTGGAGCGCTGGGGTTCGGGCTGCTGGCTCCCCCGCTGATGGCAGGGCTCGGGTTGCCAGCTCCAACTGCCTGGCCCTGTTCTCCCTGGGGCTCGGGTGTCTGTCCTGCAACCGGGTCCCACCTGCTGTCTCCAATGCCCGGGGTCCTCTGTCCGCCATTAGTGAAATTTTTCTGGCGAACCCCCTGTAACGTTCTGCAAACCCCAAGTGGTTCGCAAACCCCAGTTTGGGAACCACTGTTCTAGGGGTTAGACTCTCCCCTGGCAGCTAGCACCAGGGATTCCAGTTCCCAGCCCCGACTGTTTCCTTAATCCTACCCTGCATGGCCGGGCCCCGGGCAGGTGGCTCTGGACTCCCAGGGCAGGGCTGGCTAGGCCAGCCTGCGGAGCACAGCGTGACAACGGGAAAGGAGGAGGGTCAGGGGAGCCCGCACCGGGACTGAATCTCGCTCAGTGAGAGGCTGCTGGCCTGCGGCCCAGGTGCCCTGCTCCCTGTCTGCTGGCCTGGCACGCAGCTCAGATGGCACAGTGAATCCGACCAGGGGCCCATTTCCTGCTCCCCTTGGTGGCCAGCAGCAGCCCAATGGCTTGGCGCACCGAGGGGCCCAGTGCAGTGCACAGCTCCAAGCTAGAAGCGGCAGATTCCCGCCCAAGACTGGGGTGCTGTGCAGGCCTTGCCCAGAGCCGGGATCTCAGCCGTTACTCAAACAAATGGATCTAACCCATATGGGGGAGGGGGAAGCTTGAAAACATGAATCGGGGTGACTGGTGCAGCAACATCTGCCTGAGTCTGCTGACAGCCTGATACCAGTTCTCCCCTTCGCAGCCCTTCCGCCCTCCAGGTGGGTAGCTCCATGTCCGCCCTGGGGACTCTCTTGCTGCTGCAGACACCCCCAGCTGATGGGCTCACCCCACGATGCAGACATGCCCCAGCCCCCACTGGCAATAGAGAGCTCAGGCCTGTCGAACTGGAAGCATGGGGACAGCAGACAAGAAAGAATTTCTAACGGCTCCCTCTGGCTGCCTGGTCCCTGCTCCCAAGCAGCCCCCAACCCCCAATCCATTGGGCACCCCATTAGCATCTCCCTGCCTGGGCTGGGGGCGAGCTGCCAGCAGGCCTGGGGGCTGCATGCTGCGTTGCGCTCTGGGACATGGAGCCTTCTGCACTGACTGGCCACCCTGCAGCAAGCCAGGAACCCAGCCATTCACAGCCTCAACTCCGCCACTCGCCACAGCAGGACTCCTGCTCTCTACAGACGGGGCAAGGACTGGGCCGCCCCAAACCTTGGTATCCAGGGAGGCGATTTCCTGCTGGTTGGTGGTGGAGGCCAGGAAGTTGCTCATCTGAGCTTTCAGGGGGTCATCCACCTCGACATCAATGTCGTAGCAGGCTGTCTTCTTCTGGTCGTTGGGATCCACGCTGGGGGGTGAGGGGAGGATGGCGGTTAGGGCCCACACCTGGCACTTTGCAAACAGCAGCCAGTCCCCCAGCTGGAGACATGGTCACATGCAGCCCCACCCCCACAAAACCAGCCTGGCAAGAAACAGAATGAGCTGCACAGAGGTCACCACACCCTGGGGCCAGGCTGGAACCGGTGCTCTGGCCCCATCCCCTGACCTCCTCCAGCCGATGCCATCCGTTCCCATCTCCCACTCCTGCTCATCCCCACAACCCCGCATACACAGCCCATCCCTTCCCATCTCCCGCTCCAGAGCCAGCCAGTCCTGCTCATTCCCCCCAACCCCGCGTACACAGCCCATCCCTTCCCATCTCCCACTCCAGAGCCAGCCAGTCCTGTTCATCCCCCCCAACCCCACGTACACAGCCCATCCGTTCCCATCTCCCACTCCTGCTCATCCCCACAACCCCGCATACACAGCCCATCCGTTCCCATCTCCCGCTCCAGAGCCAGCCAGTCCTGCTCATTCCCCCCAACCCCGCGTACACAGCCCATCCCTTCTCATCTCCCACTCCAGAGCCAGCCAGTCCTGCCCACCCCCCCAACCCCACGTACACAGCCCATCCCTTCCCATCTCCCACTCCAGGGCCAGCCAGTCCTGCTCATCCCCCCCAACCCCGCGTACACAGCCCATCCCTTCCCATCTCCCACTCCAGAGCCAGCCAGTCCTGCCCATCCCCCCAACCCGCGTACACAGCCCATCCGTTCCCATCTCCCACTCCAGAGCCAGCCAGTCCTGCCCACCCCCCAACCCCGCGTACACAGCCCATCCGTTCCCATCTCCCACTCCAGAGCCAGCCACTCCTACTCATCCCCCCAACCCCACGTACACAGCCCATCCGTTCCCATCTCCCGTTCCAGAGCCAGCCACTCCTGCCCACCCCCATGTACATGGCCCATCCAGTCGGAGCACACTGAAGAAAAGAATCCCAGAAGCAACCCAAACCCAGCCCGGCCCAGATAAGTCCCAGCCCCAGAGCAGACAGCAGGGGCTATGCCCTGCCCTACCTGATCATGTGGTTGATGATGATGGGATCCGGATGCTGCAGCAGGCCTGCCAACTTCATGGGGATCTCTGAGAATCGCATGCGAATGCAGCTAAAGATCTAGGGGGGGAGGGAAGTCAGAGCATTAGCAGCCCCTGTGAGGAGTCTCCTTCAGCCCATGAGAGGAGCGCAGGGGGAGGGGACCCAGCCTCCAATATGGGCAGGGACCAGATCACCATCTGCTGGCGTAAGGCGGGCAAACGCTTCAGTGACACTCACGGGGCGTGGGGCCTGGGGGCAGCCAGCTCTTCAGCACTCCTCCCCCAGAGCCCCGGCACAGCACGGAGTCACCGCCCCCTTGCCCACCCCGGGCCCTGCGGCAAGAGGCTGACCCGTTTGTGCACGGCAGGGCCAGGGTTGAGCCGAGGCTGGAGAAGGGCGGGGACAAGGGGCGGGTCTCTGCGGAGGGAGCACAGGGCCAGGCCCAGGCAGTGGGGAGCCCCAGGCCCACCTGGCGGAAGTAGCGGTTGCAGTTGATGTATTCCTTCTCGTGACTGTCCTGCAGCTTGTTGTGTTTGATGTAGAGCCACAGGGCCTGCATGATGCTGGCCCGGGTCTGGGTGTGGACGCCCAGCAGGCGAGCCAGGCGAGGGTCCAGTTTATACTGCGGAGGCTGCAATGAGACACAGATAGGGAGACAGCGCTCCCTCCCAGCACCACCTGCCGACAGAGCTGCATCAAGCCCGCCGAGAATGGAGCGGTCTGCAGCCACCCCTGGTCCCTGGGTGGGCCCACCGGGTCTAGAGGGGTTTCTGGTTAGAGGGCTGGGGGGGGAGGGGTGGCTTGCTATCGCCATTTGAAATTCAAGCTACGGGCGCAGCCCAGCTGGGAGCTGTCTGCACTTCTCCCAGAGCTGGGGCAGCTCCAGAAGCGCTATCCCAGCATGCAGTGTGGCTGGGCTGATAAGATTGGGATGAAGCACAGCCTCCTGGGACCTGTAGTCTTCCTGGGCCACCAGGGTGCTCTGATCTGAACTGATCTTCTCCCTGCAAGGACAGAGCCTCTCATGGACCCACCTGGCCACTGCCTTCCTCACCATCCCTAGTAGGGTGACCAGATGTCCCAATTTTATAGGGACATTCCCAATTTTGGGGGCTTTTTCTTACATAGGTTCCTATTACCCCCCCACCCCCGTCCCGATTTTTCACATTTGCTATCTGGTCACCTTAGTCCCCAGTGCCCTGGTAACCACTGGCCAAGGGCTCCACAGGCCACTGTGAGAGAGTGGCCCCCCATCCCTCTTGCATGGCAGCCAACTAACCCCCTGGCAGACGCCCAAACTCTCCAGTGCGCTTGCTGATTATCCACCAGGAGGGGCAGAACAAGTCACTGGGGTTGGGGTTGTGGGGGGATGCAGAGAGAAGTCGGTCCCATGGGAGCCAGCCCCTGTATGGGGAAAGGACCCTCACTGGGGGGCCTGGCTCCTTCACTGTTCAGGGCCATACATGCTTATGAAGCCTGGGGCTGGGCCACACCAGCTGTAGGACCCAGCACGTGCCCTCCCCATCCAGGGAGGGTCAGCAGGTGGCCTCAGAGACCCACCAGGGACGAGAGAGAGGAAGAGAGGCTCTGGCAGGGTGCAGCTGACAGGGCAGCCCCAGGACCCCCAGCGGGTGGTGCACAGGGACAGGAGGTGAGGGGGTGGGATGGCGACACACTGGCAGGATGTGCCGCCTGCCTCCGGAATGAATCCCCCCACTCAGCAGACATTGCCGAACCTGCCCTCCCTGGGGGGAGCTTTATGCCCGCTCAAGACAAGCAGATGGTTTGCCTTTGGGATGCCCCAGCATGCACCACATGGCAGGTATTTTTACGTATGTTTGCTGGGGACCCCCCCTCCCTGGCTCCTTAAAGTCACTCGATGGGCTGCTCAGGAGATCTGCCCCAGGGATGGCCCCTGCCAGTCAGCCCTCCGCCCCCCCATGCTCTGGGTCAGCCATGCCATTACCTGCTGCTAGAGGGGAGGGACTTTCCCCAGGGCAGGCAGGCTGGGCAGCGGCGGAGTTGGAGCCTCACCTGGTGATCCAGCATGAGCAGTAGGGTGCATTTCACATTGACGTCGCCGGGGCGCTTGACCTGGAAGCCGTCGGTCTCCTGGGTCGTGGGCATCCTGTGCCACTAGGGAAAAGGCCACCGAGATTTACTGCCAAGACCACAAGGGGGCGTGCGACACACATTATTCGCTAGTTACATCAACATCAGCAGCTCAGAGCCTGACCCAGTGCCAGGGAGCTTGGGGCTGGAGCCTTCTCCGCACCCTGCGGCCTCGAGCTGGCACCCTGGCCGATTACCGACCGGATTGCCGTGCAGGGGTCTGTGAAAACCCAGCTCCCAGCTGCTCCGAGTGGACTTGAAACATCCCAGGGCAGTTGAGTTTGAGCCGTCCTTGGTTGAAAACCCACCCTGCACGCTTGTGCAGCTCAATGTGTCCCACTTCCTTGCCGCCCTCTACCCCGGGGATTGGGGGGGGTTGCGGATGGTTTCTAAAGAGCTCCTGGCTCCGGCGGGCCCAGGGGGGATACAGAAACCCAGGATATCACTGTTCGGGGTTCACACAAACCGCTCGTTAGCAGAGCTGTGGCTGGAAACACAAGTCAACAGCCCTGCAGCTATCACACTAGAGTGGGCAGGAGAGTCAGAGTTAAGTTCTATAAGCAGCTCTGAGTACAGCGCTGTGTATTCCCGGGCCCCAGGACCGGCCATGGAACCGCAGCCCAGCACCTGAACTCTCCTAACAAAAACCAGTATGGTGCAGACAGGCTCAGAAACACAAACCAAGCGTAACTGGAGTCTGCAGCCAGCCTGGAACAACAGCTCTGAGACTGGGCCCTGCCTCACTTCTCTCAGGCAGGGAGCTGAGCCACCCAGAGAGTACAGCGGAGAACCCCGTCGAAGGTCCCTAGGACTATCAGCGAGGAATCACGTGGGGGTGGGGGGCGTGTGTACACAGAGGGGTATTGCAGTGCTTGAATACATTAGTGTCACTGCAGAATTGGGTCCCACTGTGCCATGGAGCACATGGCACCCCCTGACCCATTATTCCCGGGACCTGCCCCCCCTCCAAAATTGTCCAACAGGCAGATCTTGGCGATCACAGACCTGTTACAGTAGCTTCAGAAACTGTTCAAATCAACAATGACAGGGGTGGGGAATCTTTTCTCTATCAGGGGCCACTGACCCACAGAAAAAAAAAAATCAGTTGTGGGCCACACACAGCTCCACAGGGGGGTGCAGAGGCTCAGGGTTCCCCTAGGCTCTGGGGTGGGGCCAAAAATGAGGGGTTCAGGGTGTGGGAGGGGGCTCCGCGCTGGGGTGCAGGAGGGGGTCAGGGCTCTGGCTGTGGGTGCGGGCTCTGGGGTGGGACTGGGGGTTTGGGCTGCAGAAGGGGGCTCCGGGCTGGGGCCAAGGGGTTGGAGTGTGGGAGGAGGTTCAGGGTGCAGGCTATGGGAGGGAGTTTGAGTGCAGGAGGGGGCCCAGGGCTGGGGCATCTGGGAGGGAGTTAAGGTGTGTGAGGTGGTTCTGACCTGGGGCAGGCGGTTGGGGCGTGGGTGGGGGTGCAGGAGGGAGTTTGGGTGCAGGAGGGGGCTCAGGACTGGGGACGGGGGTTGGGGTGCAGGTTGGGTTCTGGGAGGGGGTTCTGACCTGGGGTTCGGGCTCTGGCCAGGCAGCGCTTACCTCAGGCGGCTCCCAGTCAGCAGCGCAGCAGGGCTAAGGCAGGCTCCCTGCCTGCCTTGGCTCTGTGTTGCTCCCAGAAGTGGCTGCCATGTCCGGCCCCTAGGCGGAGGGGCCAGGAGGCTCTGCGCAGTGCCTGCGGTCCCTGTATCTCCCATTTGCAGTTCTCAGCCAATGGGAGCTGCGGAGCCGGGGCAGCACACGGAGCTTTCCTGATCACCCCTGCACCTAGGGGCCACAGGGACATGCCAGTCGCTTCTGGTCACTTCGCGGAGCCAACCAGACTTAATGACCTGGCAACCCGCCCCCTGCAGCGGAGCAAGCCAGTGCTCCAGTCCGGGGGGGGGGGAGGGGGGGGGCGTCGAGGCTCAGGGCTTCTGGCCTGCAGTGTGGAGACTGACCCCGTTAAGAGGCTGGCTGATGCCTGGGACCGGGACGGTTTCCAGTGTTCACTGTCCAGCTCAGGGTCCGCCAGGTGCTAAGTTCTTGGCCCAGTGACAGCTCGGGCAGTAAAGTTTCAAAGGCCAGTCGCACATCACATTCCCATAGGTTTCCTACTTCTCCCAGGGCCACCCAGGTAAAAAGCAGATTGACGAGGACATTCGTTTGAGGGCTGAGACAGGCAACATTAGCCCCAGACTAGCAACCATGCAAAGTTTGGGATTCTCACACCCCACCAAAGCTGCAAGTGTCTAGTGCGGGCCCCACTGCAGCTGGGAATCCTCCCCTCGTCCCCGTCCCCCACCGGTGTACAGCCCCTTACAGCACCCCACAGAGCACTAGGAAGCTCACCAGAGGACCCCTGGAGACCCAGTTCTCCTGCCCTACTCCATCCCAAGAGCGGAGCTGCTGTAGGGTCACTTGGACCCCTTGCCTCCCATCTGGCCTCACAGAGCTCCACTTAGTGGATTTCAGGGCAGGGATTTGTCAGGAGCAGGTATTGGGCAGGGTAGTGCCCCGTTGGATCTCCCAGGCCCTAGATGCTGCAAGAGTCATTCAACACATGGAGTGTGGGGAGGTGACACACAAACTAGTGCCAGCAAAGCCACGAGCCGTCTACAGGGCAGTACTGCACGAGCCCCCTTCCTGCCCCCGGTCTTTTTGAAATCTAGACATGGCAAGCAGAAGCATTGGTGCAGGCAGCAGTCGCCGTCCCGGCCTGCCCAGCACTGCCCTGCCCAGACCCCAAGGGCCATTTCCACAGTGCTGGGACAGCCCAACTCCGGCACCAGGCCCCTCCGACTGGTCCTGCTGGGGCTGCAGCTCGGGCTGGGGCTGCCTCCTTCACCCAGCACCTCACCTGTCCTCGGGCTCCTCTCCCCCCTCCTGCTCCCTGCAGCTCAGGCTGCCAAGTTCCCCCAGCCCCTGGTCTGCCTGCCCCACCTGAACCTCACCCAGCCCACAACTGCACCTGGCCCACCCCAAGGGCCCCCCAGGCTGCTCCTCTCACCAATACCACTTCTGAAAACTGCCCCCCACCCCACTCCCAGTTCTCCTCTCCCCAAGCAGCCCCCTCTGCCAACCTGCACTGGGCCCCAAGAGGTTAAGGGAGAGGGCTGGTGGGGCGGGGCAACAAAGCTGCAGGCCGTTGCTGCTGGGAGTCTTCCAGGTGGGGGCGGGGGAGGAGAGGCAGGCCAGGCCATGCTGTTGCCACTTCAGTCTGGGCCACGGGCCAACACCGCCACAAACAAAACAAAGCCACAAGCTGGAGCCAGAGCAAGCACCAGCCACTCCCTGCAGGGAGGGCCCGGTGCAGCCGCTTAGATGCCAGCCCCAGCATTACGGCCCCGCTGCCGGCTCCCTGCCCCAGCACCACGGCCCTGCTGCCGGCTCCCTGCCCCAGCACCACGGCCCTGCTGCCGGCTCCCTGCCCCAGCACCACGGCCCTGCTGCCGGCTCCCTGCCCCAGCACCACGGCCGGGGGGCACCAAGTGCTCAGGGGGGAACTAGCTGCCTAATGGTCTCCCGTGGGCCATTCGAGTCTTGGCCAAAAGGATCCTTCCACCCCCACCACGGAGCATGCAACAGAGCCAGCCCCAGGCCTCCGAGGAGCCCAGGAGCTCGCAGGCCAGAGACCCGCTGCGGCCGCTGCTAGGAGACGGCTGCTCCACCCCGAGCCGCGCAGCAGCTGCCAAGCGCGCCTCACCTCCACCAGATGGTTGTCTGGTCCATACAGCTCCTTGTCCAGTTCGATGACGAGGCTCTTGAAAAAGGAGGAGAACTTCCTCTTCTGCTTACTCGGCTGAAAGAGAGGAACCGGTGCAGTGCTCAGCCTGCCCTTCCCCAGTGCCGGGGGGCAGGAGTGCAGCAGGCCATAACCAGAGCCCCAGTCCTCAGACAGACAGGGCGGGGGCTACACATGCAGCGCCTCAGCTGGCTGCTCGGAGATGATTGTGGGCACATCAGAGCTGCCATTGGTGCTGTGGGGCCCAGGGAGCACAGAGCTGTGCCAGGCCCTGATCGGGCTCCAGTGACACATGGGGCACAGGGAAGGGGGGCTGGGAGTTTGCAATGTCAGGCTGTGGAAGGGGTGCGATGGAGAGGCCCTACACAGGTAGAAGCGAAGGGCCACTCTGGGGGAGGGCTTGGGAACCTGTTGGCACATTGGGGGGGGGGGTAAGGGGTGCTGCCAGTGCTGTGGGGCTCTGCACAGAGTACCAGGTGCCGTGTGGACATACACAGCCTCCCTCACAGCGAAGTCAAGTTCAGAACCCGGGCAGGGCCAGTGCTGCTCCCTGTCCCGTGGCTATCAAAGGGAAGATCTGGGCTTTGAGAGGCTCCGAACATGGGTGAGGATAGACGGGGGCTGAACAGCTGCAGGGACAGTTCTCAGCTCCCCCGTGCGGCACCAGCCGGCGTGGAGGCTGCCAGGCTGGCAGTCAGTGTCCTTACATCCTCCAGGAGCTTGCCTTCCACGCGCAGCTCCCACGAGGCCACGCGCTCGCTGCCATCCCCCTCCTCCTTGCCCGGGGTGAAGGTGTTGGAGATGTAAATCCGCAGCTTCCGCTTTTGCTGCAGTGTAGAGAGAAACAGAGGAACACTCCAGATTCAGTGAGCACCCAGCACCCACCCCAGAGCCTCTCCCTACAGAGACCCGCTGCCGGGAGGGGGAGCACCATCTCCCATAGTGATCGGGGAGGGGGCAGGAGAGAAGCATGCACACAGGAACCGACAAGGCCAGACCTTGGCTGCAATCTGCCCGTACTGCCCCCGAGCTGCACAAAGGTCTTGGTCCCAGCTGACTGGAGAGCCATCTCCTCCATGCGTATTTCAGAAAGGCCCAGGAGCGAGGTGGGCCCCATTCAGATGGGGCAGCTCCATCCCCTATTTCTGCATGTGGCTCATGGCTATATGTCCTTCCAGCAAGAGTTGGATCACAAGCAGGGGCTGCCCAAACAGGGGCTGTTACGCACCGTGAGGGGCTTCTTGATGGCCTCCTGGATTTCCATTCTCTTCCGCGCAATGGTTTGATCCAGCTTGCGCTCAAAGGCGAGAAGGTCCATGTAGGCCTGAGACTCTGGGACCAGCTCCCGGATCTACCAAACAGAAAACCCATCACAGAACCGCCGTGGGCCCGCACTGCATGCCTGCCCCTTCCCTGCAGGGACAGCTTGCCGGTCTCCGCCCTCACCAGGCCGTGCACACGTTACGGCTCGCTGCCCCGAAACCCTACAGCAGCAGCTCCCAAGTCACGGTTCTGAGCCCAGAGTCACTAGCATCACGGAGCCCGGCAAGGTGGAAGCCCAGCTCGGCCTTGATGCCATTTGGAAAAGCTGTCCAGTACCCCAGACAACCCCCGGGACACCCTGAAATCCCCACCCCAGCTGAATGGGCCTGACCACCATGACCTCAACACCCCAGCTCACATCCCCACCCACAATGCTTGGGGCGTCTGAAGCTAGGTATCCCAGCTGTTCAGGCCCTGACTAACACTCTACAGCTGTGCGGCTCGCCCCAGCAGGCGGGCGCGAAGACAAACCTTCCCCACAGTCCATCTCTGAGGATGTCATTTCGTTCCGGAGTAGCGTCACTGCACGCGTGCCCAGCATGGGCCTGCAATGCACCTGCCAAGCACTCCAAGCAGGGCGCTCGCCAACCAGGGCTGGCGGCACGTTCCTGCCCCCATGGGCACTGCCACCCAGCTCGGAGCCTGCCTCTCCACTCTGCAGCCAGCCTAGGGCTCAAGCCCAGCAGGTGATCTCGCACCAGCGAGGGCCGGGCACACCAAACACCCCAGTGGAATGGCCTTTGTCAACAAGACCAGAGGCTCAGAATGGGAACAACTGCTCAGGAGGTCCAGCAGGGCTCTCGAAACCAAGGCACTGTTGCTCTCCCCCAGCCCCACCCTGGGTAGCCCCTAACCCATGGGCATCATCTTCCCCTGCTGCTACAGAGGGCACTTCACCTCCCCTCATCTCCACCCCACTGAGGGTGCCTCAAGACCCCGGGCACATAACAAAGAGAAACCATTCCTCCTACAATTCCCATTCCACTGGCATGAGTACACCCCACTCCGGGGCTGGAGCCAGGCACCCTCGCTCAGCAGGGAAGCAGCACTTACCCTCTGTGGTAGGACCTTGTCCGCCATCTTCCTTCTTTTCAGCCTGCAAGCAGCACACAGAACGGCAGCATTAGGTGAGCGGAGGCTGAACTTCTGAGCAGCTTCTAACACCCACGTCAGACCAGAGACCCATGCACCGGGGCTCTGCAGACACACACCACCCTGCCCCTCAGCACTGCCTCATTTGTACCACAGCTTGTTATTGGTCACAGTGGCCTGCAGCTCCAGTAACTCCAGCCTGGAACTCAGAGGGTCACAGCAACTCTCGAATCATGGAGAGACAGCCACCGAGCCAGCCCTGAATCCCCTGGAGACTCCACTCCTTGCTGAGGGCACGAGAATCAACCAAACAGATCTGGAGTTTCTAGGCCACGCCGTCTCAGCAGTGCACAAGACACATCACAGACTGATCAGTCAACATAACAGATGGGGGTTGTCACCTGAATGCCCCCAAGCTTGGGTCTCGCTACCTCTATGCACCGCAGCAGCGCTCTGGCTAACAGCAAGGGACAGGATGGGGAGAGCGGGGAGTATCCCAGCACCTCTCAACATCCTCCAAGAGCTGGACGTTTCCGCTGAGGCAATCAGCAAAGCACTTATTGTGGACACGTGAACTGTCCTCGTTAGGTTTCAGAGTTCAGCTCGCGCTGCCCTGAGGCACCTCGGACCCTATGATGATGCCCTCTCTGCTGACCATCAGCTGGTGGCTGAGAGGGGAGGTCAGCACAGGAAGCCGGGAGGTCCAGTGTTTGGAGCTGTAGCGCAGACAAATGTACCTGCCCCTCTGGGAAGGAGGCAGAGCGAGGGAGAGGGCTTCTGGACATTTGCCTCCTGCACTACCTCAGGCTGCTGGGGAGCCCTGGCCCAGTAGATCGGCAGCGAATAAGGGAGCAGAGCCAGTGCAGTGTATGCCATGGGTCAGAGCGCAATGCCACGCTGCCCATCCTTCAGAGGCCGAGCTCATGCCATGGGAAGGCGTCCCTCGCTCCACCTTTCCTCCCCCCAGCCCAGGCCTGGCTCGGGCTGTGGAGATCACAGGAGGCAAACGAAGGACTCTGAGGGGGGTTTTCCCCCAGAAACAGGGACACTGCCGGCAATCGGCTGCTTTCACGCCCCTCACTCAGCCAGCTGCATTTCCCCATTTATCTAAATTCCACCTCTGCTCAGGAACATCACCCAGACGCACCGAGCCAGTGATTCCCCTGAGTGAGTCTCTTCCCCAGGTGCCGGCAGCCAGCTCTGTGACAGCATGGAAACCTGCATCGATTCCCAGAGCACGGGAGCTCTGGCCTCATACAGTACAGCTGGGCTCTGCTAAAGGGAGCTGCAAAGCTGGGGTAATGCACCTTCATTCAGGTTTTGAAATAACCCAGGACCCAGGCCGCAGCCTCCATTAGACCCAGGAGAACCTGCCCTGGGGCCCCTGAGAAACAATCAACAAACCCTCATGAAAACAGAAACAGAGCAAAGCGATTAACAGCACTGTAAACAACTCCGGATGTGCTGGCACGGCCGCTCGGCTCGAAAGGGGGAAGAGGCCAAGTGAACGCTGCGTGCCGGAAAGCTGGCTGCCACAGGCCCTGACTTCGGCTATCAGCCTCCACCCCCACAGCAATCCCCAGAGGGCTTCCCTCTGCTCAGCCAGCAGCGTGGCAGGGGCGTGGGGCAGACACACCATACAGCCCCTCTCAGGAGAGACCCAGAGCTCCCATTGCGTCTGGGCGCCTGCCAGAGCAGGGTGACAGCAGGAGCCCCACTCGCACCAACACTGCTTTTGTGGTGTTTGTTTGGGGGGGGGGCACAGTTCTCAGTGCTGCCGCTCAGGGGGCGATTAGTAAGTGACAGGCACTGGATTCCCACAGCTCCCCTGCAAGGGCACTAGTTGGGGAAATGGAGGCAGAGGTAGATCAGGGATGTGCTCCCAGCCTGGAGCCCTTGGCAGAACTGGGGTTGGTTGGGATGCAGCGGCCCAGGCCAGAGCCAGCGCACTGACCTCCCCGGCCCCACCCCGAGGTCAGGCACATGGTCACCAGCACGGACACCCTTACCCTCGCCTTTGGCTTGCCAGGGGGGGCTGTGCCTGCGGAGCCAGCAGGCGCTTTCGAAAGGGATCCATGATCGACTGTGGCATTCCTGGTCGCATCGGAGAGGCGGCTCCATAGGGGGGGTCCTGACGGGGATCCCACCTGCAATCCTGCCATGGGCATCCGGCTCCCCGGCGGCATCCCAGGACGCTAGCAGGAGAGAAGGAGACACGGTTACCTTGGCAAGTCCCCTGCTGGGCTCTAGCAGGCCACACGGCCCAGGAGTCCGTGCACCCAGCTGCTTGCGGCACAGAATGGAACACGCAGGCTCTGGGAGAACACCCCACTCCATGCACTCCCGGGGGAGGGCAACGGCGCAGAACAGCGGCACAGCCAAAAAGTGACGGAGGAGGGGCAGTTGCACAAGGTGAGGGCTCCTCGACATTCGGGTTTGACACAGAGAACTGGTTGCTAATCAACTCCTAAGGCTAGACTGGAGACACTGCGAACACCTATGTTTTCCCTAGGCCCCTGCTGAGCGGCGGTGTGGGGGGGAGCACAGAGCACGGAGAGGCGAGGTGGGGGGGGGGGCGGCTCGGGGGCCCAGAGATGTCACTTGCTGAGATGAGGGAGCACAGCGACATCACCTGCTAAGCTGCGAGGGGGGGGGGGCACGCTGGCTGAGCTGTGGGGGGGGGGAGGGGGGAGTCACAAAGTGCCATCATGGGTTGAGCTGCAGCTTTTGCTACTCTAGAAAATACAAGCAGGGAAGTGGAACAGAAAATGCAGAAGTGCAAGCCACAGGGAGCACACACACACACACCCCGCTAACAGACTTGTCAGTTCATGGGAAACCCCCTGTGGGGGTCGAGGCAGGTTCCACCACAGGCCTGGCCACTTTCACTTCCCTCTGGGAGGAGGAGGGGAGGGACACAGGCTCAGCACAGAACGAGGCTTCCTGCTCTGGGGCAGGCCCTCCCTGCAGTAACTAGGCCACCACGCTGATTCCCCACCACACGGGAGCAAGGGCACCATGGGATGCGCACCCCGAGACCCATATCGCACTCGGCAGCTCCTGGTGGGAGGTTCTGGCTCCGGACTGGCCTAGTGCCTGCCCGAGTGCTGCAGTGCCTTGGCTCAGGGCACACAACGGCCTCTTAAAGCATGGCAACGGCCTTCACACGGCTCTGGTTGTGAGTGCCACGTGCCCAGAGGGGGTGTGCATGGCTCAGGGTGGGTCCTCTCTCCTGACAGCCCCAGTACCAGGGAAAATCCAGTTCCCTAATGGCCCATTGGCCCACTTACACGGACCTTTAGGCAGACAGTATCTGATTGGGTGACAAAGGCTGCACGGGGGCCAGGGCGGTTTGTGGGACATTAAATGAGCCCTGACGACCCCTCAGGAGGTACGAGCTTGATCCTGTAACCTCTGGCCTCATCTCACGATGCCCCCGGAGATCCAGCAGTGCATTCCTTGGAGGCTGTAAGCCCACAACTTCACGTCTCAACCTCCTCTCCAGGATCCACCTCCACACAGAGCCGGGCCCAGACAGGTACGATCCCGGGCACCCAGAGCAAACCGGAGCATTGCATGCTGGGACCCGCAGCCTCTGCCGCAGCACTGCTGTGCTGCACACAAGGCTGCAATTGACCTCATGTTACCTACATGAAGTGCAGCCCTTGGGTGCTTGACAAACTGCCAGCGTGGCCGCTGGCTGGCCAACGCCACAGGGCTCCCTGGTTTGTTTGGTCTGCTTTCCTAGATATTAAGAACGGGCTCCCTAATGCCAAGGAGCTTGTGTGGTTGGGAAAGTCACCAAGCCAGCAGGACAACATTTCATTGCTGCCGGCAGCTCCAGAACATGTCGAGACAACCCCCACTGTTCCCCGGCTGCTTTCGCTTGGGCCCTGCATGTGACGGATGGGGTTGGAGAGCACGGAAGAAAAACGGACTGAGCCGTTGTGTGGGGAGCGCTCCCTCCGAGGGAGAAGAGCTCGGGGAACTGACTCAACGTAAGAGCCGCGTAACGGACAAGCAGCAGTGCTGCCCAGGGGCTCAACAGGCGCAGCTGCCAGCCCTGATGCGTAAGGCACCCAGCACACTCGGCCACCAAACAAAACCTCCTGAACAGGGATTTCTGCTCAGCCTGCTGCAAACGCAACGAAACCCTGCAATAAAACAGAGAGGGACCCGTTTGGCCGGGCTGCGGCTCTCTGTTCCAGATGTGCACTCTGGAATGACCGTCGGAGTGCACATCCCGGCCAGGTTTTGTACAGCTCTGCATGAGCTTGTCTGCATATAGCCAGAACTTCAGCTGGATGTCGGGTGATATAGCGAGCGTTGGGGAGCCCTAGTTACTAAAGCCCTCTCCAGAACAAGCCTCCTACACACACTGCCCAAGGGGGCGAGACACTGATTCTAGGCGTAACAGGAGCAGTTCAGTCTCCATGGCTCACACAGTTGTCGACCACTCGGCTGAGTTCACCAATTAGCATAAAATCTGGGTTTGGACTGCGGGAACGGGAACTGAGTTCCACCCAACTCATCATCTCCTAGAGAAGCCAAAGAGCCATTAAACAGGCACAGTTTCTACTCCCTGCTCAGCTGGGCTGGATGCAAACTGGTGAGCTACAAGTGAAAGGTTCTGACAGCTGCTAGATATGCTCGGAGGCCTCCAGTTTCTCAACCAGTGCCAACTTCACAGGAGGTCCTATAAAAATATTGTAAAAGTCCACATTTAAACACGTTAAGATTGCAAAGTCAGGCACCCAAAGTTAGCAAGTGCCAAGTTTAAGGCTGCCCAGGCAATCGTAATTCAACCCACATGTAACTACAGACTTGTCACAATGCACAATCACATTTTTTAACCCTACATGGGCTGTCAACACACTGGAACCCAGGACCTTCAGATCCACAGTACAGACCTCCTCCACTTGAGATAAAGGAGCAACTAGTGGCAGAAGTAGGCTGCTGCCCAACAGGTCATTATTGTTTCACAAATAGTTGTATAATCTACTGGCAAACTGTCATGGTGCCCTCTTGGGGCTGGTCCACAGAAGAGTATCAGAATTCCTAGGTTATATTAATGGCTCTAGAGTAGAGCATGGCACAGGGTTACAGACAGGATAGACAAGCACATAAATGTGGCACATTCATGCTGACAGGCACTGTGGCAAATGGATAAGCCTTAGTTCTATCTTACTAGAGATCTGGGCTCTATTCATAGCGCTTCCTGAAGTCACCTTGGGCAATCTTCCAGTTACCCCCATTGTGAAGTATGGGGAATTCCAGTCGCCTAGATTCTAACATTTAATTTCAACAATTCCACCTGTCACTGAAAACGCAGAACAGAATGAATTCTAAGGGGCAATGCTTGTGTAGAACTTGTGCAAAATTAATTCATTTTGCTTCCGATTTCCTTTGTTGGCACCACCCAGCAAGCTGAACAATATTCCCAAACGGAGAGCAATCACCAACTAGATTGTTAAACAAACTGCTTAGCATTTTACCTGGTAAATAAAATGAAGCTGTTCTGGGGACATTTATGGGCCTTGTTTGGTGGTTTCCAGCTCCCCCAGTTGGGCCCACTCCTCGCCCATTCCCCCACAGCACTGTTGCCGCTTTCTCACTCTGCTCCCTCCCCATAGTTCTTAATTTCTCTTCCCCCGTTTTTCCTCTCCTGCCCTGCTAGCTTCCCCTCTTTCCCCCAACTTGCTTAAAGGATAGACGCTGCGGAGGATGGAGAGCAGCCAGCCACTGATGGCTCTTGTGACTGAGGTGGTGCTGTAGGGGGGGAAAAAGGCAAGAGAAGCTTGAGCCAGTGGCCCCATCTTAAAGCGCATCTCTGCTCTGATAAGCAACAACGTCAAGATGGCATCGTCAACAGATCCACACACAACCCCCCACGCGTGCACTGAAATCCGATCTGCTGGCTTGAGTGACACAAATCAGTTTTACTGCTTTTTACTCCGGATTGCCCGACACAGTCCGCACAGGCAGGAATCTATTCCTTCTTGGATATCACCACCACAAAACGTTTCCCTCGTTCCAGTCGGTTCCACTTGCACAAGCCCAGCCGCCCCCGAGCTCTCTCAGTTCCTTCTTGCCGGCCAGCTCTGATGCAGAGGGGTAGGAGGGCGGGCCGTGGAATGGACATGTGCAACACATCTTGAATAACAACAGTTACAAAAGGTTAGTAACCGTTTTTTCTTTTCGAGTGATTGCACATGTGCATTCCTCTTTCGGTGACTCACAAGCCGTAATGTGGGAGAAGGGATCAGAGTTCACATGCACACAGACTGGAGTACAACTCGTCCAAATTTAGCATCGTCTCTGGAATACTGAGGAATGGCATAAGGGGATGCGAAGGTGTGAACTGAAGACCAGCCGCTGCTCTACGAATGTCCTAGTTAGGGACTTGCACAAGGAATGCCGTTGTGGCTGCTTGTGATCTTGTGGGACGTGCTATCTGTCTCCCTGGCAGTGAAACGCCTGCCAGCTCATAAACATGAGGGCAGGAAGTTCCAAGATGAAATACTTTGCAAAGGGAGCGGGAAACCCTTCATTCTGTCTGCTATGGGCACAAGTAGTTGGGCTGACAAACAAAACTGTTTAGTCCTGTCTACGTAGAAAGTCAACGCTCTTCTGACACCAGAGCTGTGCAAACATTGCTCCTCTCTATTGGCCTGTGGTTCTGGGTAAAACGCAGGTAAGTAAACTGACAGGTTAATATGCAAATTAGATACCATTTTAGAGAGACTTCTCGGAGGAGGGTGCAAGTACACCTTGTCCTTAAAGATCGTATAAGGCAGTTTGGCCCCCCCTCCTGTAGCTACCCAGAAAGCTTTCTGGCTGGGGCTGCAGGGTACCATCCCAAAGACTTTAGAGTGGTCCTAGAGCCCCTCAAGCCATGGAGCTTAGACTCAGTTTGCTGCAAAAACAGCAATGCCACTTCCAAGGGCAGGTGCCGTAAAGTCTGTTGGATCTCTTGGGGAAGCCCCGTGGCTTGCAGCCAAGAGCTCCCATGTGCGGCCACTGCAGAAGCCATGGACCTAGCCGCCGCGTCTGCTGCACCCAGCGCAGCCTACAGAAAAGATCGCGCTACAGATTTCCCCTCATCAACTGAGGAGAACTCCCACCTAGCGTCTCCAGCATCACATCTCTGAACTTTAACAGGAAGTCCCCCACGTTAAAATCATACTGGCCCCAA